CCTTCCATCTTCTCTCATTTCTATTCCCATCTGAGATGCAGACATAGTCCTTCCGCATTTTTAAGACTAATCACTCCATCTCTGCACCTAAACCCTCTTTGGCAGACATTGTTTCATCAACGACATCTGCTTTCTGTACCTGTAATCTCTTCCTCACCACTGGTTCCTTTTTCTCAGCCTACATATGCCTAAATCTATCACTCATTTATTAAACTTGAATTCATCACCTACTATGTGCCAGACATCATGTTAATTAGGCATTGGACTTAAAGAGTTCCTGCTCTCAAGTGCCATCCAGTAGGAAAAAAACAGGACAATTAAAGTATATCATGACAAGTACCATGACATATGTGTATGTGGAGAGCTATAGAGCACATCTAATTCAGAATGGAAGATTAGCTAAGGTTTTCTGATAGAGGGGAAACTATGGATGAATCTTGAAAGAAAGGTAGGAATTATCCAAACAGTAACAGTGAACTCTGGGAACAGAAGAGAATTTGAATTCAAGAGTTGTCACAATATTCAAAATGTCCAGTTTTCAACAAAAAAAAAAGGATGTGGTTCCATAGTATAGCTGTTAGCACATCTGCTTTACATGCAGAAGGTCCTGGGTTCACGCCCCAGTGGAGCCACAGTCCATGGTCTACGGCCATGTCACCCTGAACAAGCCCAATTCCGTCTGATCTCAGAAGCTAAGCAGGGTCGGGCCCGATTAGTACTTGGATGGGAGACCACCTAGGAAGACCAGGTGCTGTAGGCATAAATAATAAATAAAAAAAAAAAATTATGAGGCATCCTACAAAACAAGAAAGTATGGCCCATACATAGGGGGGGAAAAATCAATTAAAACATGTCCATGAGAAATCCCAAATGTTGGTATTTACTGGACAAAAACTTTAAATAAGCTATTATAAATATGTTCAAAGAGCTAAAGGAAAGCATGTCTAAACTGGCTGAAGCCAAAACCAAAACTGGCTCAAAAAAAAAAGAAAAACAGAGAAAATTTGAATAACGAATAAAACTACTGAACTGGTGATTAGATACTGGTGATGATTGCACACTTTGAAAATATAATAAAAACCCCTGATTGTACATTTTAAAATGGTTAAAATGGTGAATTTTATGTTATATGAATTTTATCTCAATTTTTAAAAAAGTACAATAACATATCACTTTAGAATTACAACAATGGCTAAAAATTTAAAAACTGACACTACCCCATGTTGACAAGGACAGGAGCAACTGGAACTTTCATAGACTGCCAGTGAGAATTCAAAATAATATAGCCATAACGGGAAACAGTTCAGCAGTTCCTTATGAACATATGCTTACCAGATGTACCAGCAACCTCACTCCTAGGTACTTTACCCAAGAGGAATGAAAATATATGTCCATATAAAGATCTATATGTGAATACTTATAGCAGCCTAATTCATAATAAAGCCTTAAAATGAAAATGATCCAAAAGTCCCCCTAACAGACCGTGGTACCAGAATGATTAAAAGTAAAATTTCTGATAATAACAATTTCAATCCTGGATATACACTCAAGAAAAGTAAGTGGATATATCCAATAAAAAAAGACACATAAGAAAGTTCTAAGCACTATTATTCATAAGGTCCAAAAATTTGACAAAACCCAAGTGTCAATCAGCAGTAACATGAATAAGTTAAATGTGTTATAAAATCATAATGGAATATACATAACAACTAAAAAGAATGAACTGCTACACTCATCAAGGATGAATCTTACATAATGTTGAATATAAGAAGGCAGATGTAAGACTACATACTCTATGATTCCATTTATATAAAGTCAAGAACAATTAAAAGTAATCTATGGTGACCAAAGTCAGCATAGTGGCTCTCCATAGCATGTGAGGTGGGGAGTGGTAGATAAAATGGATATTGCCTGGGAAGCACATGACCCTCTGGGATGCTGGAACAGTTCACAATCTGGTTAGTGGTTATATAAGTGCATACATATGAAAACATTTATCAAGCTAAACATTTAAGATTTATGCACTTTATAGTGTGTACATGAACCACAATAAGTTTTTTAAAAATATAAGGAAATAAAAACTACCCTGGTCTTCCTAGCCTCCAATAAATCCTTTATGGTGGTCCCATTAAAAGTTTCCATTTAAAAGCATATGTCATTATGTCACTTCTCTGTACAATTCTTCAGGGTATCCTGTTGCCATGATTTCTCTGTCATAGTTTTTATGACATGTCTGGTCCCTGCTCAGCTTTCAGTCTCATTTCTCTGGGTTTCAGCCAAACACTTTGCAATTTCTCACCTCCAGATCTCCAAACCTTCAGTTTCTTTTGAAATCCCCATCTCACACCACCAAACTAAGCCTTCAAGAATCAGCTCACTCAAGGACTAATGTCTCTCTGCAGCCCTCTTTCACAGCCGCCAACTTCTTGGAGAAGAAGTCGAGGAGAATTAGGTGCTCCTTCCTCTCTGCTCCCACGCCTCTGTTCCACATCTGAACTACAGCGCCTATTCTGGGGCAAGCAATGTTACGTAGGCTAATTTAGTACTGATATGTTTTTATCCCACTATACTGTGAGTTCCTTAAAGGCTCACAGGGACTATTTTTCCTTTGTATTCCTATCCTCAGTATCTGTCTCAGTGGCTGGAAGATAAGAGGTATATATTTGCTGAATGCATGAACTCAGGCTCTAAAGATTTTTTCCTACCAATCCAAGTAAATATATTAAGTTATAATCATTTTTTTATCTTATTCAACAAAGTCATTGACATCTGATCTCAGCTTCTGACCAGAATGAAGTAACGAATGTACCCATATTAGACTCATATGCACTATCAGTCAAAAGCAAAGAAACTTGAGGTTTTGGTAAACTTTTGCTTGTTGCAGGCTTTCCTCCAATTTCTATTAGATTTTTCAAAATATCATAATAGCTCAAAGATTCCCTTAAATCTTTTTTAGACCTCTAGGATCCCAGACTTCTGGATAACTATTTATGAACTAAAGATTCATTAAAGAGAATAGAGTGATACATACCTTAGACTTTGATGTTAGTTTTCACGAAGGACATATATTGCTTCCAACTAATGCCTAGTTGGGGCATGGGCAAAGTCACAATACAAGATAAAGTTACCACCAAATAGCCATTTATTTATTCTATGTGCAGACCAACATAAGACATGGTTTCTCTTCTCAAATAGGTATAGACAACCACAAAGAGCATGTTGTTCTTTCTTACATGCAGCTTTCCCGTGCTTTCCTCTGCTGTTCCATTTCTTCATTCCCCTCTGTGTCCAAGAAACCCCTGCTGAGATCTGTACTTGCTCTTGAATACCTTCCCCAAAAGACAACTCTCAGAGCCCTAAAACAGACCAAGCCAGGCAGCAAGATCATTCATCAGAAGTGAGTTTAGAGATGGGGATAAGAAAAAGTTTAGAAGTAGAGGGAAGAGAAGGACTAACCTGAAGTTTATATCCTGACTATCAAGTTCCTATCATTGCACCTCTGTTTTAAAAGCCTGGACTCAAGAGTTCTTCATTTAATCAGCCCATACAGGGTAAGAAATAAATGAGAAATTATAGAAAGGACTGAATGCTGTAATTTTTTTTCAAGAACTACTACAGAACATATATTCATGGAGGACTTCATAGCTTTCCAGACTGATCTACTGACTATTAAAAGACTACTAATTAAATCTGCCTTGTTCCTAATTAAAGCTTTAATTTGCCACCACCCCGGCAGGCTCAGATGTAGTATTAGGCTGGAAAACTGAGAAACAGTAGGAAGAAAAGGAAAGATTCTACAACCATAAGGAATTAGGAAACCACTGCATCAGACTACAGGTTCTACAGGGGGAAAAAAAAAAAGAACTATGTCACCATGACAACCTGGGATATTTTTATTGTGAGAGTTGGTAGGTTATACAGAAACATTTCCAAAATTCGGAGGTTGAGAGTGAAATATAAGAACGTGTGGGAGTTGAGAGATATTTTAAATTTGGATTCTTAATCTTTATTTTTTAGTTTCTCCTTGCAATCTACATGTTGCCAAATCTTGTTTTTTAAGAGCAAAAGGGCAAAAATAATTTTTATACCCCATATTTATATATAAATGTCATGTACATACATATATGATTATGTAACTTCGTTAATTGGGAGGTTTTCATTAACAAAGGATACAAAGTTTCTTGAAGAATAAGAGAAATTTATATCAATAGTTCAAAATAGATTATTATATATTAGCATACCCATTTTCAGCTAAAAATCTTGACAGTATCGATGGAAACCATATATATTAAATCTATATTACTTTTCATTTAATTTTATAACATTTTTATCTTGTTTTTAATTTCCTCTGACAGTTTCCCAAAGAGTCTGCATAAAGTTCTTTTATAAGTGTATTATTTACTCAGTAAATCACAGTTTATTTAGTCAATTACATGGGTTCCAGTTTGTTTTGCACAAAGTTGATGCAAAAAAAAAAAACATTTCTGCTTTTCTGTGTCTTAGATACCTCGCAGTTATCATTTTATTTAATCCTCACAATATTTCAATAGCACTATTATCTCTATTTTTAAAGATGAAGTAAGCACAATCAAAGAGGTGATCTATTTGCCAATGACATAGCTGAGAAGTGTCAGGGTCTGTGTTAAAACCCAGGTCTATTTGACTCTTAAGAGTCTTCCCATTTCCTGTGCTACACTGAATCTCAATGTCCTTATGATTCCTGAGGCACAGATTTTGAACTTATAAAGAAATTGTTTCGGGACATTATGTAATACAATATATTTGTATTTCCCGCTGAGATATCTTATAAGTTCTTGCACTGAAGATGTTCTCTGCTTTAAACACATAGCAATGAGAGATAAATGTAACAAGAAAAATTAAGAAACAAGATAAAACAAGAAACACTATCATGCTCAAAACCAATATAAACCTCTGTGAGGCCCAGAAACACCAAAGTTGAGGACTGCAGGGCTCCCCATCCAGGAATTTTGCTCCTGCTGGCTAATAAGGACCAAAAGTTCTCCCAAGAAAGGGAAGAGATGGATTCAGGCTCACTGCCGAAACCAGGAGTTTTTTCACCCGTGGAAAAAAATGTTGAAAAGAACTATAAAAACTGCTTCCAGAACCATGGCCTAGAGAGGCAGGAGAAAAGCGACAGTTTCATGTCCAGGACTTGGATCAAGCTGTCCTTTAGCTCAGAGAATGGATTTGCAATATCTCTCAACAGCATTGGTAGATAGACCTTAGCCACCAATATAAGCTCTGGTTATAGTCTGGGAGTCCCTTGTGGGGTAATGGAAGCAACCAAGACAGAGTTAATAGAGAGAGAGAAAAGAAAAACAAATCTTCTTATCAGGATGTCTGCATATCAAAATTCCAAAACGCATGAGGAAATTCACACTCAAAAAAGTAACGAACAAAATTTAAAAATGAGAAGATATATTCATCCCAGATGAAATGAACATAACAGAACAATCTGAAAATAAGTTTTAAATAAGCATTTTTAGTAGTCTCTGAGAAAGTTAAAAGGTAAAAAGAACAAGGAATTATAAAAGCAAGCATATATTAAAAAAAGGTTGATGTGAAAAAGCATATGCTAGGTGTAGGAGTAAAAAACTTTCCAATAAATCAGTCACAGGGAAATGATATCTTCAGGCGCCAGCCCCCAGGAAAGCACTGACAGCCACCAGGATGCAGATAACGAAACTGCCTGCTCAGCCCTGTTTGATCTAAGGGTTCCCCGGAAACATTTGTCTTTGTATAAGATGTTTACAGCCAGCATCTGCTTGCTGTAATCTGCTTGCTTGCTTGTTCAGAAGACCACCAGGATATGGTCTTAAGTTTTATAAGCTGTCTCCTCTGGAAGCTTGGGGCTGATATCTTCTGATCCTGCGTGGTAGAGAGTCAGTCGCCGGCTGGCTAATAAAGGCTCACAATTCATCTCAATTAGCTCCATGGGTCTTAGAATTGATCGCGCCACAACACTAGGGATCTTGGAATAAGCACTCACTAGACAAAATGCACTCCAGACTGGTCTCGGTTGAAGAAAAAAATAGTAAATTTAAAGAACTGAAGAATTCACCCAAAGACCTTAGCATAGAGAGATTGGGTAAGGAAAAAATAAAAAAAGAAGTTGAGGAGAAGGAAAAGAGGAGAAAGAAGAGGAGTAATTAAGAGTAGTCAAGAGGAAAAAGAATTAAACATCTTTAATAGTGACCTAATAGGAATTCCAAAGATAAATAGAGGAGATGGTGGAAAAACAATATTCAAAGAGATCAGGAGTCAGCATTTTCTGAATTGAACAACAACAAAAAATCTTCAGAATGAAAGTGCACAGAGTGCCAAACAGAATGAACAAAAAAAATTCCATATATACAATGTAGATCTTAAAATTAACCGGAGAAAGGACACTTTAGCTACAAAGGAATGACATTCAGACCTAGAGCAGCCTTTCAATCAGCAGCAATAAAAGTTAGAACACAATGGAGTAACATCCCAAAAGTACTATGGAAAATAACTATGGACCTCAAACTATATCAAACCCCAAATTATCACTCAAGATAGAAACCAAAATAAAGATATTATCAGTGATACAAAAACTAAAAGATTTTAACACCCACAGACATTTGCTAAAAGGAAAAACAACAAAGAGCAAAGAAATTGTTATAGATATATTGGTGAGTTTACTAAAAGACTAATTTTGAGGGAACAAAATAAAATAATATGGGCAAAAATATTTAATGAAAAATTAAAGTCTAGTAAAATTCAGGAAGTGGATAGACACAAAATTTTTAAGTTTTGTTAGAAATAGAAATAAAAATCAGTATTTGGAGCAATGGAAATTTTTACACACACCTGGTGGAAGTACAACCACTTTGGAGAGTAATTTGGCAATATGTAGTAAAGATGTAGCTGTATCACCGCAATTTTACCCTTGGGAACATATAAAGAAATATCACAAATATTACCAGAGAGATATACAACAATATTCATAGCAGATTAGGAATAATAGCAAAAAACAATAAACAATTGTGTATCAACAGAATAAAGGATTAATAAATTGTGGCTTGTGTTTGGAATACTATACAGCACTGAAAAATGAACGAAACAGAATTAGAGGTCTAAACATGGGTAAGTCTTAAAATATGACTTTGAGAATAAAAAGCAAGTTGTGCCTTATGGAAAAAAATGCACGTGTTAGATAAACTTCAGACATTAGTTATAGTGCTATTGGCCGTGAATTCAATGTTGATGAATCAATAATACATATTAAAGAAAATATCTTTAAACAAACATAAAACAAGGCTATGTATTGTTTAGGTGACTAAAGTGTTGTGACTAGAGGTTCACGGGAACCTAGCCCTGTATTCCTCCTCTAGGAGCAATGGTTCAGGATTCACTAATTGTATTGGAAGTAGCTTTGTAGAACATATTTATCTCAAATAAGGGGAAGATATTAATACTAAAGGAAAAGTATTTTTCAAATGCATCTGATTGCCTTATTAACATAACGGGGGGGGGGGACCTTCCCAAGAAATTACTCCATGGTTCTCCCAAAAGCTCATAAAAGCGGCGGTCCTGCCTTCCAGTACCCTTGAACCCTTTACTCTCTCCACTTTATTCTTCCTCACTTCTGTCTCTTGGCGGGGTCTCCACTTAAACAGTGTTTTCCAAGAATTTAGAGTATCGAATCTTGTAACAAATATGACAGAGATGGATACAAGCAACACACAGGTACATTTAAAAGTGAGCTCTGCGGAAAATTAATTGCAAAAACCCGCGTACCTCAGTTCTATGGGAACCCAGAGACAGGTATGTCCCTACCTGGGCATCCACCTTCCGAATCTCCCAAGGACATTATAAAAATACGCGAAAATATTTCTTTTTTTCTTCTTAGCTCTCATACAGTAACCACACTGTATCCTGCCATAGGCCTTAAAGCTGGTCAGCAGTTTATTCCTTTGTGTCTCTTTAAGACGGAGGGCGGGTGCTTTGCCCTCTTCCGAAATGGCTGCCCATGCTTCACACGCTCTGCGCATGCTCCTCGAACGCAATTCTGGGTAGAGGCAATTCAGTGACTTTCGCGGCGCAAGATGGGGACTTGGCCGCAAGCGAGGCTGAATCTCCCAGCATGCTTTGCAGCACGGCCGGGAGGCCCGAGGTGTAGTAATGGAGAGTCCCTAGAGCTTTCGGCCGCTAAATCGGTTATAAAGGTTGAGGTTAAGCCTGGGGCCTGAAACCTGGACAACCACAAGATGGAAGCGTGGCGCTGTGTGAGGAGGGGCTACGGCCGCTGTGTAGTGGGGAGAGGCCGGTCAGTAGGGCTAGGTGGCGGGATGGACGAGGGAGGCGCGGCTAGGGGCGGGGGCGGGCGGCCCGAGAGAACCGGGGCGGGGCGGGGTGGGCTGGGGGGACGAAAGAGCAGGAAGAGGGGTCCGGGCGGTAGTGCGGCCGATCGAGCACCCGGAGATCCCGAGAGATAAGGAGATCGGCACGTAGCCGACCGGACGTTTGGCCGACTGGGCCCGGGGCCCGGCGCCGAGCGCATCCGCCACTGGCCGGGCTGATTCCCTCCCGTCCAGGCTTGGCCTTAGATCCCCGGCCCACTTCCCCCTTCTCCACCTCCAAGCCCGCCCGAGCCTTCGGGTCCCCCGCCTCCTTCCCAGGCTCTGCAGCACCTTCCGGGAGCTGACCGTACGCGGGAGGCCGCTTGTCGCAGTAGGTCCCGGGGCGGCCTGACCCCGAGGGAGGCGCGCGCACTGCTCACACGCCCAGGGATTTGTTGGTGTGTTAGTGTCTCTCAAACTTTAGTCACTTGTATACCAGTCTTTATTACTACCAAATTCTCGTTCACACCTGTATTGTTTACTGCCTATTTTTCTTGAAATTGACTCACTTTAAAAAAGGCACTTCAGTAGGTGCTGCCTGCATTAGCTTCGCCCTAAACTGTTATCTGCGAAATCTTGGGTTTGATGTACTGATTGTTGTATTTTCCCTAATACATTTTAAAATAAACACTTAGATGTTAAATATAAAAAAGTTTGTGTACTATATGAAACCGACTGGTGTACCACACATGGGAAGCACAGCACTATATTACATAAGCTATGGGGGTCTGGTTTTAACTCCTATAGCCCTGGGACTTGATGACAATTCAGTTCAATGTTTTCCTGAGTACCAGCTGTGTGCCAGGCATTGTGCTAGGCAATTGGGAAGAAACTGGGATTAAAAAGATTAAGAAAGTTCTGGCCTTGAAGGAGCTCATCATCTTAAGAGAAAAAAAAAAATCTGTATAAATAACTGCAAATATAGAGAAGTTTCGTAGTACAAGTATTATACTTTCATGCACTACCTCACTGGGATAGAAAATGTATGGAGCAAGTGCCCAAATTTCTACGGCTTTCGGAATTGTCACAAAGCAGGATAGTCTGCCCATGTCATGCCTTTAAAGATTTACAATTAGTTGAATTTAGAGATCCATTGGAAAATGCATAAACTACAAAAATAAATAATAAAATTTAAATATTGTTGAAAAGAACATGTAAAAGTCAAATAACAAAATACAGTATACAGTATTACCTTTGGTGATAGAAATAGTAGATATTATTGACACTATCTTGACATGTACCTTTATTGAATTCTGGAGGAAATGATAGAAGTCCTTCTCAATCTTAACATTTTGCCAGAGTAGTATAATAAGAAGATGGTGCTTAAGACATCTTGAGAGCAACATCTGTTCAACATAATAACACAAGTTTGAAGATATTTTGGATGATAGGTTAAATTGGTGCTGTTGGGCTTGGAGTGTTGGTGAATTCCTAGCAAGTAATCTATCCTCTCATTTCCCTCTAGGAGAAGCATGCTTTTTAAAAAAAAGATGGAAAAATAAATTAACCACCTGCTGATTATCAAGAGAGGTAGTTTTGAGAAGTTGTGATAGGCTTTTGTTTTCTTAGTTATACCAGTGTTTGGAAAATATAACCTTGGTATAAAAAAAAAAAAACTTCAGAAATCTGTTTTTATTCCAAACCCAAGTTGGAGGAGAGATTCGCTTTCATTGTAATGAGCGTACGTGTTCCATATTTGATTTGAGTATTAACTTGCTGTGGATTTTATTTGTCCAGAGTTTTATTAGATGCTAGAGAGCTATTCTGAATACCAGTTTGATGGTCAACTCATCTCTCAGTTGAACTGTGGACTTTTTGAAGTGTATGTGGTGTTTCGGGAGCCTGGTGGATTCTAAGTTAATTGTTTAGAATACCATTTATAGTTGTTCAGGGAGAGTATTGAGATATGCTGCTCATAGTTAAATCATGGCTGCTTTCTCTCCGTCCTCCACAGATTTAGAAGTCAGATTTTAAATATTAGACATTGTCTTCCCTCGAGGAAACATTTAGATTTCATGTGCGATAGCTGAACAAAAAGTGGTGCCTCAAGGAGTGTATTTATTTCTTTTAGATACCCCATGTTACCCCATCACCAGAAGAGTCTGGGCAGAGATTGGACTACACCGTGGGAGAATCTGCAAAGGTGTTGCTGGAACAGACATATTTCTAGTTGTATGAGGTGGCCTGGACATTATTCTCGCGCTCCTTACCCGTACTTCAGTAGTAGGCATTTTTCACTAAATTGGAGACCACCTTGTTTGTTTGAGTCTGGAACTCAGTTTCAGTACTGGAACTGGAGACCTGACAACTTGAGCCAGACATCTTTGATTCATCTCTCTAGTTACATCATGAACTCTGAGGGAGATGAGCCTTCATCAAAACGAAGAAAACACCAAGGTAAAGGTGATATTTATCTTGGTGCAGAGGTAGACATAAGCCATAGACTAATTGAAACTTTCATATTTAATCCTCAAGAAAACCTCCTGCAGGTTTTAGAGGCATTCGATGTTTGTTTTCAGCCAGTAGTTAGTTTTCTGTTAGGAAAAGGAAATTATTTTTTTTTAATAAGTTTGTATTTTTATCTTTAATTGCGTATATCTGGCAGTAAAAATAGAAGTGACTCTGCATGTAGAATAAGGTAGAAAAGAATGGAGGACTAGATTAAAACATTAAGTTTAAGAGTAATTTTCAAATCCACTATTTTTGAAACAAAGGTCCTTAGACACCTTAGAAATTGGTGGATATATTACTGGGAGTCCACAGAGCTATTTAAAAAATTGAATTTTGTGTTTTCATTTTTAATGTTAACTTTTTTAATGCTAACTTTTAAAAATAAGACAAAGGACTTTAAAATAAAAACAATCATAAATGAAATATATTTTACAGAATAAGATTTTAGCTTATTAAATCTGTATTTCTCATACAGGGATCTAGAGATATAATCTTGAGAGTGTGGGAAGTTTTAATTTTTTAAAAAGGGTGCTACATCTTATTCAACTTTGAGAAACAGTTTTTTCTAAATACGCTGATTATTTCTATTTTTCTCATATTTAAACAGTTCACTAGGTTTCCTCTGTGCTGCCAGTCCTAGCCCCTTCCCACTGTACATGAATTGTCTACGTAGAATTTGGAATTGTCTTTCTTACTGAGCTATGGTTTTCAGTGAAGATAATTCCTCTGAAGATATTAGAAATTGTGTGGGTGCTATAGTGTAGGGAGCAGACATAAGTTTGTCAAGAGAAAATATTCACAGTGAGTCTCATTTGGACGTTAGAGCTAGAATATTCGCTACTGCTCTTTTAAGTAGGAATTCCAAGCACTGAAAAGTGAAAAATCTCTTTGGTACTGGAGCACAGCTTGTGTTTATAAACAAATATTGTTTGAATGAATGAAAGTTGTATTTAGAGGTATTAAAATTAGGTTCCTAAGAAGAATCCGTAATCTAAATCTAGGGCTATATGATGACATGAGTGCTTTTCATTCACATACTCATTGTTCATCAGGTCAGCACACTTGTTTAGCCTTTTGTAGATCTGGTAGTTCTCAGGTGGAGCTGTGGCATAGTGACATAAGCATGGGCTTAGGAACCTCTCCTTCTTCCTATTCTGCTCCACTAATTTTGTGAACTTGGACAGGTTACTGAACCTCTCTGCTCCTTGGTATCCTAGTGTGAAACAGGGTCTACTTTGAAAGCTTGTCAAAGATGAAATGAGATTCAAAGTGCCCAGCACACTGTTGGCTTCATAGTGGGTACTCAGAAAATCGTGGTGGTGTTGTTTTCCCTTTAATGGATGGGGAATTACATTTACACACTGATAATCTTGGATTGCAACCTGACTCTATGTGTCCATTCTTCCTAGGTATTGTGAATAAGGAAAATGCTCTTCGTTAAGCCATATCTGTGACTTCTGATATTTCACTAATACTTTTCAATCAAGAGAACAGCATTGCTAACTTGCCTATCACTTTAAAGTGGTAGTTGAAGGATTTATGTGACACAGTTATGACTTTTTAATTAGGCACCCTAAAAACCTGATCAGGCCTATTGCTTACTTTCTTTGATTCATCTGTCTTCTCTGCTGTGATCACCTTGTTCCTCCTGACATGGAAGGTATATAAGCTTTTGTAGTGTGAATTTATGTTGTGAAGTATATGAAGGCCAAAGACTGTTTACTCCATCAATAGTTTTCAAATTGTCTTCCATGGGCATCTAGCATTCAGACACATTTCTTTATGTTTCTTCAAAGCAAATGTGGTCGAGATAAATGTGTTTACCCCATCATTTGAGCGCCAGTCCCAGCATACCAGGATTTGATGTTCATGACCTGAAAAGTAATGCTGAAGGTTGAACAAGCTCTAGAAGTTTAAAATCCACTGTATGAATTAGATAATCTGATGGTCTCTGTCATTTAGAAAATGAATTGCCAAACAAATTGGCTTACAAACGCTTAATTGCCAGGACTATAAAAATCTCAATGCATTTGTATGCCTTTACATACACATATTTTATGAGAAACTATGAATGGGTTTTCTCCACTTTCACCTTTCATATTTGAATGTGGTGGCGATATCAGGGTAATGCTGTAACTTTATAGTGATAGCTTACATCTTGTTTGCATGACTTTCCATCTTGTATGCATATGAAGACTTTATGATTTGTGGCTAAAAACATCATAGGCACTCCCCAATTTATGAATGAGTTGTGTTCTAGATTATCAGTTCTTGAGAATCAGTTGTTGATCATTAGTTCTGTTTTCCCCATAGAAATTCTGTTATAAAACTCAGAGTAGCTCTGCAGAGCTAATACAATTAGCCTTAGTTCTGGGCCTTCGGGGTTAGGATTCTCCATATTCAGTGAAGGAAAGGAAGGGGATAATTTCCTTCCCTTTCTTGGGCATAGGACAAGCTCTAAGCTAAATGTTGTAATAGTTGAAGGCTTTTGTTTGGCTCACTTTTCTCTCCTTACACCTTTGTTTTTTCTTTACCCTTCTCAGGCTCTGAGTACCTTTCTGGTATCGTAAGTCTTCAACTCCCTTGTTCCATTCAGACCTCACTGTTCATAAAACTTAATCTCCTCATCTGTCCTTTGATCAAAATTTCTGTTCCCTCAATGCAGCGTATATCACCATTTAGATTTTGAGGGAAGCAATCTGATTAAACTCATTGAGTATAGAGTATTTTTAAATTTTATTTCATTGGCATTTTTATAGAGTGTATTGGTATTCTGATTATAAATTTATCATCATTGTATAGAATATGGGAGAATCTTCCACAGTCCTACTCCTCAGAGATAACTACTCTTAAAAATACTGGTGTATTTTGTTTTAGTCTTATTTTCTCTTGTGTATAGAATGTTTTTCCTCAATTTATTTTTTAGTTGGTGGAATTTTAGGCATTGTAGTCCAGTGAAGTGAAAGCCTTCATGCAGGGAAAGGGCTGAGATTTTTGTTTTTTTCTTCATATAATCTAATTATGCTTAGGAGTCCATCTTCAAGTCTATTTTTCCAAGTTCTTCTCATTTCTTATTTTCTCTTCTGTTTGAACTCATGGATTCTATAAAAGTTCCACATTATTCTCTATGACTTCCATGGCAGTATGAGTATGCTCTTTAATGGTCAAGTGACAGAGGCAATATCAGTGGTGAAAGAGACATGTATGTGTCTGTGTGTGTATATATATACACACATACAGTGATCATTTCTAAGTTGAGGACTGCCTATAATTGCAAAATATCACGCTTTCCAATTATCTTTTCTTCACTTTTTCAGGGTACATGATGTCTTTGCAGATCATAAACCATCACACATTCCTGGTTGTTACATGCTATGTCAACCAGCCACTACTATTTACCAGTATTCTGTAACCATGATCCATTTAACTTTTGCTTTGATGTGCGTTAAAAAGATTTCTTTTGTTCATTTTGTTTGCATTTTCCACTTTAGTGTTCTAGACACTAAATACTGTTCCATGCATTGCCGTTACACACCCTTCATTCATGTCTAAAGCAAAATTCTCAGATGAGTTGTTTCTGAAACTTGTTTATCACTTGCAAAGCAAAATTCTCAGATGAGTTGTTTCTGAAACTTGTTTATCACTTGACCTTATCTTACTAATAAGGGATAAAAATATGTGAAATTATCTTATTGAAAAGCCAATTGTGATATACAAACATATTATGGTTATAAAGTTGCTAAGCATTTCTGTATGGCAGAGCCACTTCTTAACCATAAACAAGTGAGAAACCATGACCCCTGTATAGTCTTTATTTTATTAACACTCATTCTCAGACTCCAGAATGACTTGCTAGGTCCCTTTAAGTCTGTTGTATACTTCTCGGTCGGTCAATATATCATTTTACTGCCTTTTAATCAATTTGATGACAACTACTTGTTATTCAATGCTACATATCCATTTCCCAGGGGAAAAGATTTTGTTCATTGCCCATGGGAATTTTTAAAAGGCAAGAAAATACTTATGTACAGGAAAATATATGGTCTGTTTTTTATTAATTCTTTGTATTTTATCCAATATGTTTTAACAGGCACAATAAAAAGGCATTGGGAATATCTGTGTAACCATAATAAAGAAAAAACGAAGATCCTAGGAGACAAAAATATTGACTCCAAATGTGAAGACAGTGAGAACAAGTTTGACTTTTCAGTGATGTCCTATAATATACTTTCACAAAATTTATTGGAAGATAATTCACACCTCTATAGACACTGCCGGCGGCCAGTATTACACTGGAGTTTTAGGTTTCCTAATATTCTGAAAGAAATTAAACACTTTGATGCAGATGTAAGTGCAAAATATCAAAATTCTTCATACAAGAGAAAGTTGTATTCGTTTGTGAACTAAATGGTTCACAGTTTTAGATAGTAAGAGAATTTCTTCTGATAAAGGGCCAGGGTTTGAGGGATGATCAGATTTGGAAACATTAATTTGATAGATCTATAAGTTACAAGAAAAAAGGATTTATATTTCACTTCAATTTTCATCAGGCTTTTAGAATTTTAGAAGCCTGTTTTTAAAGATAGAAACACTGTAAGATTCATATTTGTATCTCTTTGTTTTAATTCATGCCATATTTTTCTTCCAAGGTACTTTGTTTGCAAGAAGTTCAAGAAGATCATTATGGAACAGAGATCAGGCCAAGTTTGGAATCACTGGGTACAAAATAACTTTTATTTTAGCCAATTTACTTTAGAAGATTGGTGTGCTGTTAAAGCATAACTTACTAACAAATATGTGTGGTGTATTTGAGCCAAAAATCTTAATTTTGAAAAACTTAATGTTGATTTTAAAAGGTCAAGAAAAGATTGAGGTATTTCAAGTAGGAACTTTTGTGTGGATATATAATTTTAATTCAAAGGGAAAGGTGTTTAAGAATCTCTTAATAGCTTCCTTTCCAGGAGTTGGCTCTGCCCACCAGTAGACCCTTAAAATCCTGGGCTCCATGAGATCAGGGACAATTCTGTCTAGGTCATTGTAGCACAAGTGCCTACCAGTGTTAATGGATAGACGCTAAAAACCTCTTTGAATGAAAGAATACTTCTAGAAACAGATTATCTGTTTGTGAGATGCTACCTACTTTGCATTCATTCATTCAGCAAATATTTTTTGAGTGCCTACCATACACCATGCAATGTCCTAGGCAGTGGAGATTCAGCGATGAGCAAAACAGATAAAAAGTCTCTGCCTTGTGGAGCATACATTCTAGTGAAGAAGACTGACCATAAGCCAAATAAATAAGTAAATGGTTCATTCGGTAATGTTAGTTTTCTAGAGAAAAGCAGGAAAATGGAATGGGTCAGTTTTCAGTTTTATACAAAATGATCAGAGAGGGTGAGATTTGAACAAAGACTTGAAGGAGGCGAATGAACAAGCCGTGCCTGTAGCATTCCAGACTGGAAATAGCAAGGGAAAGGCCCTGGGATTGGAGTTGCTTAAGGCAGGTGAGGAGGCCCCTGTGTGTGGAGTGGAGCAAGAAGGGCGGTGGGGGATGAGTTGGAGGCAAAAAGGTCAGAGATAGGTGGCGGTTGGATTATTTTAAGGCCTTATTGTCTTTGTCGTGACTGACTGACTAGGATAGAAATGAGAGCATGATAATGCACATTAACATGTTTAAGACAAGTCTGCCAGTAAAGAGAACCAGTAAACTCTATTAGTCCTAAACTTTTTTTTAATTCCAACACTTATTAATATCCTGAATTACTCATGTTTTACAGAATACACTTTGGTAAACATTTTTAAAGTACTAGGAGAGCTATGTTTTGGTGTGTGTGTGTGTGTATGTGTGTGCATAAAACAGTCCCTTGTTTTAAATTTCTTTCTTTTTTATAGGTTATCACTGTGAATACAAGATTCGGACAGGAAGGAAACCTGATGGCTGTGCCATTTGCTTCAAACATTCCAAATTTTCACTCTTATCAGTGAATCCAGTGGAATTCTACCGCCCTGATGTTCCTCTGTTAGACAGAGACAATGTTGGATTAGTGTTACTCTTGCAGCCCAAAATTGCAAGTGGTGCCTCTCCTGCAATCTGTATAGCTAACACACATCTGTTGTATAATCCAAGGCGAGGTGATATTAAGCTGACCCAATTGGCAATGCTTCTAGCAGAGATTTCCAGTGTTGCTCATCAGAAAGATGGCAGCTTCTGCCCTATTGTTATGTGTGGTGACTTTAATTCTGTTCCTGGTTCTCCGCTCTATAGTTTCATAAAGGAAGGAAAATTGAATTATGAAGGACTGGCCATAGGAAAGGTAAGTGCTCACTTCATCACTGTTAGGAGGCGGACTAGTCCTCTGTTCACTGTAACGTGAAGATAGTTGTCACAGGGCTCTTTGAAAACCTCAATGGTCCAGTACGCTCACTTCACCAAACTGTGATGATTTCCCGCAACTACCAATAAGTAATTATATTCACTTGGTTAAATTTCATCTTTTCCATCTATTTGTGGCAACATTCTGCTTGGAGGAATTGGCAGGCAGCAAAAAACCCAAAAGGGGGGAGAAGAAAAAAAAGAAAAACGTTGACAGACATGAATACTTCATAAATAAGGAACTATTCACAAGGTGGCAGAACAGAATTTTGTATGCTGGCCACAGGGCAATACAATTGGCAAAACAGTAATTTCATTTTTCTTTATTATGTAATTTTCCTTTACATAATGAAAAATATTTTAATTCCTTAGCTGACTATAATTTATCCCGTGTTTTTATTTGTGCTCTCTTCTGTTTACTTTAGATCATTTAAGCATATTTAACCAAAATGAGTTTTTCAGCACTGAGTTTTGAGTGATAGTTTAAAATTTCATAAGAGTTCATCTTAGTATTTTCTATAATTGGAACTATATTGCAGGTTGCAAAAAAGGAGGGAAGCCTTAGTTCAAAGCTCTAGATCATTGAGATGTCCAAATTAGATGAAAACAAGTACAGGAAAAGATTGCCATCTTCATGTAAAAAGTGCTTTCGGAACTGTATTGGACCAAGATTTCATAAACAATCACTTAATATAATGAATAAAGGATAGTATCTACCATTCTTAGATTCCCTTTTAGTAAAGACATAAACTTTTCAATATATAAACTATTTTAAATCTATTCACTTAAGATACCTGTTGAAATTTTGTTTAGGTATCTGGCCAGGAACAGTCTTCACGGGGACAAAGAATTTTATCTATTCCAATTTGGCCCCCAAACCTAGGTATCTCACAGAACTGTGTGTATGAGGTACAGCAGGTACCAAAAGTAGAAAAGACAGGTAAGTGTTCGCAGTACATTTTGGCAGTCTTCTTGATAAATTTCCCTCTGGAGACATAAAACTAAATTTTTAAAGGAATAACATCTCAGGAATGAATATTCATATGTATTCATATGTAAAAACAGTTGATTGCTCATTCCTTTTTTTAAAGAGCTCTAAATTTACCTTTTATAAGTTGAACTTCCAAAATTATCTTTGCATGAATTACTTGCATGTTACTTTGGAAATGTTTGCATTTTACGTTTGCTAGTTCTGGAGCTCATCGAAATAGATTCTAGATGGAACATTTAACTAGGTATCTATCTGAACTAGATATGTCTTAAATACTTTTCCTAGAGTAAGAGGACCGTGCTAAGGCAAACTGGAACAAAACAATATAGTGATAATACTAAAATGTTTCTCTTTGTTCTTACAGACAGTGATCTGACACAAACACAGCTGGACAAGACAGAGGTCCTAGAGACAGCTGAAAAGTGAGTTCTGGAAAGCAGCAGTGAACTTTTGTTGACTTTTGTTGATCATTTCTCAAAAATCACTTGGATAAAAAATGAAGATGATATTCTGTGCTGCTGAAGAATGCTGGCTCTTAAGTCAAATAGACATCAGTTCCAATCATGACTTTGCTGCTTTTTAGTTTTGTGACTTTGAGCAAGAAACGTAACATCCCTGAGGTTCAGTTTCCTTACCTCTAATTTAAGTTGTTGTGAGAATTAAATGAGACAAAGCATGTAAAGTTCGATATTTGACATATAGTGTGTACTTAAGCAGTGTTACTTAAAGAAAACAGCTTGTCCATGAGCCTGGACCAGCTAGTTAGTACTCTTTGAAATTTATTGCCATTACATATTTAAACAAAAGTCAAGATCACAGAAAAATGTTTTTCAGATTTCAAGAGGATCCTTTGACTTCTTGGATCTCAAAACAATCTATAAGAGAATTAATCTAAAAGAGAATATGTCAGTAGAAAAGATAATTATTTACATTTATCTCTTAAACCACAAGAAAAGGTCATCAGAGGTAGAGGGATGAAGATCCCTGGATTCCTTATTATTAGAGAAGCACAAATGTTTGAGGCTGTGGTTGAAAACAGATGTATGTTAATACAATAGATTGGAGACTTAAATCTTGTCTCTTTGAGAGATTCTTTAAATGTCTTAATTGTTTTATATTGTGGTTCTTTTAGAGTTTGGATTTTAAAACATTTAAATTTAGGGACCAAATTAGAATCATCTCTCACTTATATTATCTGCTTTCTTTTCAGTCTTACTTTATTTTCTAGACTTTGTTATGAGAAATTATTCTTTCGTATATAAGAATCTAGTAAAATTTTTTGAATTTTTATAGGTATTTTAAAATTTGATTAAACCTTTCAAATAGTTAAAACTTCCCTGAGTAAGATTAATAAAAAAGCTAATCTTACTAACAAACTTAGTTTTGAGTAATTCTAAGATTATAACAAAACGGAGTATAAGACAAGATACTTTAAGTATCTATATGTAAATACAATATGCTTATATGCAGTTTAAATCTATAAACTGAAAAGTTAGTAGTAAGATAATAGTTTGCAAGAAGCCTATTTTACATTTAATAATATCGTAAATATAAGTCCTTAGAAATAAAAAGTTGCTAAAACTTGGAAGTAAAGACATTTTGAAGCAGTTACCTTTGTTCATTGACATAGGAGCTCTTTAAAACCAGGGCAACATCTGTGGATCCTCAGCTAACATAGTGCCTGGAACTTAGTAGGTGTTTGGTAAATGTTGAATGAGTCAAAAAAATTTTTTTTTAATTTTGTTATCTTTCATGACATAAAAGATCCTTAAAATTTATGAAATGTTAGTAGGAAATGATTTTTAAACCCTTTACCTGTAACATCACATGTATTTGTGGTAGGGGGTAAATGTAAACCATTATAGAAGCTATTTTAAGATGCAGTACAAAATTATCTCATATATCATAGCAAGAATAATCATAGAAAAATTTGGCCCCTCTGACATCAAAAGTCTGGTGGATTCTAAATAGGATTCCTAAGGGCCACTTTTTCTTTCTTGAAAACAACAAAAACTATACAGGCATACCTAACAGATGTTGCAGGTTTTGTTCCAGATCACTGCAATAAAGAGAATACCGCAATAAAGTGAGTAATGAATATTTTGGTTTCCCAAAATATAAAGTTGTGTTTATACTATACTGTAGTCTCTGAAATGTGCAATAGTATTACGTCTTAAAAAAAAAGTACATACCTTACTTAAAAAATACTTTATTGCTAAAAAATGCTAATCATTTTCTGAGCCTTCGCGAGTCCTAATCTTTTTACTGGTGGAAAGTGTTGCCTCCTTGTTGATGGCTGCTGACTGATCAGGGTGGTGGTTGTTGAAGGTTGAAGTGTCTGTGGCAATTTCTTAAAATAAGACAACAGTGAAGTTTTCTGCATCAACGGACTCTTTTCATGAACAGTTTCTCTGCAGCATGCAATGCTGTTTGATAGCATTTTACCCACATTAGAACTTCTTTCAAAATTAGAATCAGCCCTCTCAAACCCTGCTGTTGCTTTATCAGCTAAGATGATGTAATATTTTAAGCCCTTTTCTGTCATTCAACAGTCTTTGTAGCATCTTTACCAGGATTAGATTCCATCACAAGAAACAACTTTCTTGTCACTTTGGCTTGTATCAACTCTTACTAAAAAAAAAAACACAAGAAGAAGAAAGAAACCACTTTCTTTGCTTATCCATAAGAAGCAACTCCCCATCCATTCAAGTTTTATCCTGAGATGGCAGCAATTCAGTCACATCATCAGGCTCTACTTCTAATTCTAGTTCTCTTGCTATTTCCACCAGTTAAATCCTGCAGTTACATCCTCTCTGAAGTCTTGAACCACTGAAAGTCATCCATGAGGGCTAGAGTCAGCTTTTTCCAAACTCCTGTTAATGTTAATTTTTGATCTCTTTCCATGAATCACAGATATTCTCAATGACATCTAGAATGGCGAATCCTTTCAGAAGGTTTTGAATTTACTTTCAACAGATCGATTAGAGGAGTCACTGCCTGTAGCTGCCATAGCCTTAGGAATTGTATTCTTAAATGATAAGACTTGAAAATTGGAGTTGCTCTTTGATTCATGGGCTGAAAAATGGATGCTGTTAGCAGGCACGAAAACATGAATCATTGTATATCTCCATCAAAGCTCTTGCGTGATCAGATACATTGTCAATAGCAGTAATATTTCTAAAGGAATCTTCTGAGCAGTAAGTCACAACAGTGGGCGTAAAATATTTTATAAACAATGTAAACAGATGTGCTGTCATCCAGGCTTTGTTGTTCCATTTATAGAGCATAGGCACAGTAGATTTAGCATAATTCTTAAGGGCCATAGAATTTTTAGAATGCTAAATGAGCACTGGCTTCAACTTAAAGTCACCAGCCGCATTAACGTCTTAACAAGAGAGTCAACCTCAACAGTGGGCGTAAAATATTTTATAAACAATGTAAACAGATGTGCTGTCATCCAGGCTTTGTTGTTCCATTTATAGAGCATAGGCACAGTAGATTTAGCATAATTCTTAAGGGCCATAGAATTTTTAGAATGCTAAATGAGCACTGGCTTCAACTTAAAGTCACCAGCTGCATTAACGTCTTAACAAGAGAGTCAGCCAGTCCTTTGAAGCCAGGCATTGACTTCTTTTCTCTAGTTCTGAAAGTCCTAGGTGGCATCTTTTTCTAATAGAAGGCTGTTGTGTTTACAGTGCAAATCTGTTGTTTAGTGTAGCTACTTTTATTTCCTTAGCTAGATTATCCTGGATAACTTGCTGCAGCTTCTACATCAGCACTGTCGTTGCTTCACCTTGCATTTTTATGTTGTAGAAATGGCTTTTTTCCTTGAACCTCATGAACCAACTTCTGCCAGCTTCAAACGTTTCTTCTGCAGCTTCCTCACTCCTCTCAGCCTTGATAGGCTTTGGCTGAAGGGACTGTTGTAGCCAGTTTGATCTTCTAATCCAAACCACTAAAACTCTCCATATCAGCAGCAAGGCTGTTTAGCTTTCTTATTCGTGTGTTCACTGGAGGAGCACTTTTAATTTCCTTCAAGAACTTCTCCTTTGCAGTCACAACTTGGCTAATTGGCCCCAGAGGCCTAGCTTTCAGCCTGTCTCGGCTTTCGACATGCCTTCCTCACTAAGCTTAATCATTTCTAGCTTTTGATTTAAAGTGAGAGACGTGCGATTCTTTCTTTCATTTGAATTACCCATTTTGGGGTAATTAATTGTCCTAATTTCAGTGTTGTTGTGTCTCAGAATAGGGAGGTCTATTTCTAGCTTTTGATTTAAAGTGAGAGATGTGCGATTCTTTCTTTCATTTGAATTACCCATTTCGGGGTAATTAATTGTCCTAATTTCAATGTTGTGTCTCAGAATAGGGAGGTCCGAGGAGAGGGAGACGGAATGGACGGGTGGTGGAGCAGTCAGAACACACACATTTATTAAGCTGGCCATCTCACGGGCACGGTTCACGGCACCCCAAAACCATTGCAATAGTAACATCACAGACCGCGGACCACAGATCACCCTAACAGATATACTAACGAAAACATTTGAAATATTGTGAGAATTACCAAAATGTGACGAGAGATACGAAGTGAGCAAATGCTGTTGGAAAAATGGCGCTGATGGATTTGCTCAATGCAGGGATGTTACAAACCTTCAATGAGTAAAAATCACATTTGCAAAGCACAATAAAACTGCACTAAAACAAGGTATGCTTGTAAATTTAGAATACTTTTATTAGTAAATGGAGGCTATCAAATATGTTATAATTAATAAAAAATCATAGTATGTTAATTATTGAGCTTTCCCCCTCTCCCCCATGTTTCACAGCCTTGTTAATGGGTTAAGGATATCACTGCATGAATAAATGAATGCCAGATTGTTATATCGTCTATTTAAATAATGCTTGTCCTCCTAATGTCTGGCTTTGTCTGGAAATTAAATGAAAAAGTGCTTTAATAGCATGGATTATAAATCATGAAAAACTTGGATGCCAAGTACTTTTTCTTTTCAATTTAGGTTATCTTCAAATTTACAGCACCATTTCAGCTTGTCATCTGTTTATTCACATTATTTTCCCGACACTGGAATTCCAGAAGTGACCACCTGTCATTCCCGAAGTGCCATAACCGTGGATTATATTTTCTATTCTGCTGAAAAGGAAGATGTTGCTGAGCAGCCAGGTAAAGAATGCATGTAATCTTAAGTTCTGCTTGAGAACAATAACAAAACCTCAAGGCTGAAGTTGAGAAAGTTGGCTCAGCATCTAGGTGAAGTTCTAGATTCTAGTTAAAAATATTTTTGGATTGGTAATATATTTGACAGATCGGTAATGTATTTGAATAAATCAGTTAATCACCTGTAAAAGATGCAGACAGTAAAACACCTTAAAGCAAATTATTACCTAAGAATTATATATCCTCAGCTATACCCTCCAATTCCAGTCACCTTCTGAGTTCTGGGTCTTTCATGTTGCCCTCTTTGGTTTTGCTTGCCATAAATTTACTATTTTCTTGTGACAGCAACATGATAATAGTTTGTACTTAAATTTTACTAAGGCATGCTGCCTTCATTGTAGCACCTTGCTTATACTGCCAACAATAGACAGTTTCGTCATGTTGACTCTGGAATATTGGATTTTTCTGGAAAGAAGTCTGTAATATGACTGAGCTTTCAAAAAGCAAAGGCAATAAAACACTCCCTCGAATGATTCAATGAAAGTAAGGCTTGTAATATTAACCAAAGGGTTTAATGTGGAAAAGAAAATGAGGTTTCATATATCTGAAAGGCAAAAAATGCCACTCAGAAAACTTTGGAAGTCCCAAATGTGGACAGCTGTTTTGTTTTTTTTCATTTTCTCTTCCTTTTTTTTGGGGAGCTACTTTTTTTTCTCCTTTTGTTTGTTCTTTCCTTTCTGCTGAGGGATAATCTTAATAGTAATACTCAGGAAATGGCTTACTCCTCCCCACTGGAGGGATGGACTCTACAAAATATGCTACTTTGAATTTGTAGTTAAGGTTCTGGTAGCTGTTGTGCCGTAAATATTCACTAGGTGGCGGAAGTGTGTCACGGACCCGCATCTCTAATTTTAACATTAAGAGTATGTCTTTTACTCTACTTTTGCGGTACTAACTCTGGGACCAAATTATGCTAGTTTATGCTTCAGTCACCTTATAAACTTCCTTCTTAGCTATGGCTGGGTCTCTTTGGTATTATACAACTGTCAAATGGTTGATGGATGAATTTCTTACATAGTTGTCAATCTCAAATTACTCTAAACATTCTTAGGTATAACATTGATGTTTTCTTCTAAAGATTATTTGCAGAACTTGAACTAGAAAAAATATCTGCAATAGAAAAACACAAGGATCTGAAACTGCTGTGTAGTTGAGAATTATAATTAGCTTTTACTCAGTAAAAATTTAATCATATTCCAAAACCTTTCATATTAGACTTCCAGAGGGTTCTCAAGTTCTATATCATTGTTTAGAGAAAAAAAGACTTATATGATTAATTTACAAAAACCTGTTGATACAGTTTCACTGAATGGGTATGTGTTTCTTTAACGCAGGAGCTGAAGTTGCTTTGGTTGGTGGCTTGAAACTTCTAGGTAGACTGTCACTTCTTACAGAACAAGATTTATGGACTGTCAATGGACTTCCAAATGAAAACAACTCTTCAGATCACCTGCCTTTATTGGCTAAGTTCAGACTTGAGCTCTGACTCTTCTTTGATTACATACGTACTTTTCTTTCCAATTTATATTCTTTTTCAAAGAATGTAAAGTTGTTCTTAAGAGTTTGCATGTTGTTTATTTTTGCGCTGTAGTGTTTCTGAAGAGGTTATGTTAATCGGAAGCAGCAAGTTTACAACAATTTTCTTTTTTATTAATGAAAGAATATTTTCCTGACAAGTGAGATCTAAATGCTGTTTATTGTAAAAGATTTGTATATATTTTTTATTCTAAATCCCAGTAAAATTGACAGTGATTTTTAAATATATTGCATCTTCTTTAGTCCTCTTAGTAAAGAATTTCATGTTTTTGGCAAGTTTTACAGTGGATCTAAAATATCTGAGTTCTTGCCAACCACAACTCATTTCTCTTCCCGAAAGCCATGAGAACCATATTTTTGTTGAGACCTAATTAGTTCATCTCAGAATTCATTGGGTCATTCACAAGTGTCCAACCAACCATTTTAGTTTGTTTCTGAGGGGGCTCGATAATGCTTATTAAAATCGTACAAATTGCTTAATCCATCTTATTACTATCCCAAGCTATGTAATATACCTGCATTTTGTTGGGGAATTATAGGTCATCACAATAAATACTTTACGAAGTGCACTCTTTTTTTTTTCTTTCCATCCTGGACAGACACCCCATTACAGAATGCTTAAGAGAGAGGAGCTTGGGGTTATGCCTTTAAGAGATTTTATTTTAGTGAACCAACTCTGTAGAAATTTATTAGGAAACTTGTCTTTAGAACAAAGTGGCAGCTATATTTCTGTTTTGTCTCAGAAATTTGAGAAAGCCAGCAAAACTCTAGTGGGGAGATACCAACTTGGAGACCTAATACTCTTTAGTAGTAATTTTAACTGTTTTTAGTGGTTCTGTTTCTAAAATGTTTTTTCTTTTATCATGATGCAGCGGGATGAGATGATGCTGATATTTTTTTATAAAGTGATTAAGAGCAGGTCTAATAATTCTGCAGTTGGCTCTATATGAGTGTTCAAATCAAAAACTTTAAAACACGAAGGGAAAATTTCCTCCTTTTTAGGCATGGGAATCAAAGAATTATGTGATTTTTACTAAGTAATTTTATATTGTATTAGACTGAATTATAAAAGTTTTTATAAATAAGCATTTTCTTAATGCTTCATCTTAAAGTAGAAAGCAGTAGTTACTTTATAGTCTTGGACTTTAAAAGGTTTTGTACTAAAATGTTTACTATCATTATTTAAAAAAAGAAAAAGAAAAACACAGATGACTGTGCCAAAAAGGCATGTGGGGTTAAAAGGATTTGCCTAGTAAAAATTGTAAACTTTTAAATGTTTAATTTCTCACTTTTTTGAGGTTTTTACTTACAGTATTAACTATAGTCTTTGGATTTTCTATTTTCTAGTCACAATTTTCAGAATATTATGATATATTCAAATTAGCAGATATGGTCATCAAATAATAACAGATAGTATAATTATCCCCTTTTAGTATTGGGGAAAGAAAACTGAAAATTCATCAATTACTCTTTTGTGTTATATGAATTTATTAACAAATAACTTTATATAAAGGTCATTATTTGACAAACACATCCCTGAAAAACTGAAAATTTAGTTTTTTATATCCTGATTAATATATTGTGATTTTAGGCCCTTTTCATGTGCTTCACTTTGATAAAGTTAATCCATAAAACTGCTTTCTACTTTAGCTTGTAGAATGAAGTAGTATTTTATGGACTAGAGGCCAAAGGGTCAATGTAACTTTGTCATAGGTTTTTAAAGCTCCACTAAAATTAATTATCTACTTGTCTACCTTTTTTGGTCAGAAGAGTTGGTAACTCTGTTGGGGCCTTGTGTTTACCTGCCAAAAAGCAATTAAATCTAGCTAATCGCTGAAACCAAGTCTCCTACAACCTCAAGTGCTACACTACCCATGTTTTAAATGGAAAGGGATATTGTGGAGTAATGAAATTTTGGGTTGACTATACCTTTTGATATCAAGATAATATGCATGTTTGAAAGCTTATCTTTTTTTTTTAATTTAGCAACTGTCAGCTTTTAACCCTTTGCTTTCCTAAAAAATGAACTTAGAATCCAGAGAGTTCAAGGGATTGGGGAAACAGATGTCATCATTTGCACTTTGTACCTGTAAATTACCTAATAAATTCTTATACTAGTATACCTGTGCCTGAAGGTTTTGTGGTAGGCATACTAAGCTGTGTAAGCTTGCCTGTTGCTTGTTTTAAACTATTTCATTACCCTTTTCAGCCTTTATTACTTAGGCTGATGCTAAAATGTAAGTGAATTAAGATGTGTCAAAATAGAGTGATGTTTAATATAGAGTCTGAAAATTGTGGAAGAACACAAGTGTGAGAGAGTGATAAATTAATTTACTAGGACAAGTATATAATAAGACAAGAAAAAAAGATTACACCATCTTACATTTTTAGAAGAAAAACAATCCTTAAGTTTCCAGGATGGTTTTATTAAATTCCCATGCTGTATAAACATACGAGTGATGAGAAAAACATTAACCTGAAACATGCACTATCTGGCATTCTCTAAAATACCATTATACAAGTTTTCATTTACTTAGAAAAATACCCACTAAAACAATCACAGTTTTTCTTAAAGATTTAAAAAAAATGTATTGGCCAGAACAAAGTCCAGGAGAATAAACAAGATTCTGAATTGTATGTCAAAAAAACTGTACAAGGTTGTACATAAAACTATAGTTTACAAAAGCCTTGGGTATAGTAAGAATACTGAATTAAGATTTCCAAAGTTCTATTTACCAATATCTATTAATAAAATCCTTATGAAATAATTTACTTAGAAAAAGGGAAATGCTCATGATTTCAGAGTGTATAGAAAATACTAAATACAGCTTTCTGAAACAAAGTGTATTCAAAACAGCACAACACGTAGTCTAAAATCAAGATTCCTGTCATCATTTAAACTTTGCATATATTGCCGTAATGGCTTAAGCATCAAATTTCTCTTGCATTAATAACTTTCAAATTAGATTTCAAATCATTTCATAATTTTATTTTCAATCTTTTGAATTATAGCCAGTTTAAAAATCAATTTGGGGTGGTAAATCATGTCATAGTGTTTTTTTGTTGTTTTGCTTTAATCATTTGATTACTGCAGTAGAATTTAGGAGTTTGGTGCCTTTCCCATATCTTTTAGAAATTAACATTCCATAGGCATTAAAATAGAATGACAACTAAGAACATTTTCAATGAATTTTCATGTTCCTGTGACTAACTCTTGCTTTGGGAAAATGAATCTTAAAACCGAGAAGTTTGCGTTGAAGAAATTAAGTTACTTAATTGAATCATCAAGCCATTTGGCAGCTTTAAGGCTTATACATCAGTATATTAGAAACTGTTTGTATTCCTATTATTGTTCCTTTTTTTTTTTTTTTTTTTTTGGGGGGAAAAAAAAGGGTCACTAACAATTTATATTTTTTTTTTTTTTTTGGTGGGAAACAAGAGGCTATGCAACTATTGACTTTATTTTAGTTGGGACAGTACCTCTGTAATGCTTGGAAAATCCTATTCCAAGCTCTTAGAGTAACTGCAACATTATAAGCAGTCTACTTATTGGATATAATAAAATTTCAGATTGATAAACAAGATATATATATATACACACACATATATATTTATATATCTTTTAGAGAAGAATCAGTATTAGAATGAGAATGAACAATTACTACAAATATCTAAATACACGTGGCCATGAGGCTACACGTGGGTTTGCCATATGAGGATATACAAAGACAACTCATTTTAAACTCTGCTAACTTGAAGAAAGTGATTACCTTCAGAATTTTTAACTTATGCTGTATTTGACTATAATTGAGATGTACACTTACTTGCTCCTATTCATGTAAAGGACATTAGACTTCCTTCTTTTTCAAGAAACAGTACTTTCCAGTAATAATACTGGTTTTTAGGGTAAAGTGGGCTCGTGTGCACATGGCTGAAGGATGAAGTCCTTTTGCTCTCCCCCGTAGGTCAAGAATCTCAATGAGCAGATTCTTATTATTTTACTCCCTTCCTAAAATCCCCTTCAGTCAAAGAAAGCCAGAGGGGAAGCACTGAGACTAAACCTTTGTTGACTAGCAGACTTCACTTAAATATGCCTTTTGGTCTCATGGGTTTGCATGGTTACTAGGACAAACAAATGAAATAGAAGCTGTACTCTTGATAACATACAGACTTGATATGCTGTTATTCTGTGTGGTCTGCAGCCGGAAGTTACACTGTAACTGTAGACCAGACAGTCATTCTGTGCCTCATGGACTAAGTCACTCTATAAGATCTAACATTTTACTTGAAGATTTTTCCATTTAAAAAAAGGTACTGCTTCTCTAATTCATTGCCTTTTCCAACACCAGTCCCTAAGTGTCATGAAATGGTACCAAAAAGCCAGGTACTGGAAATTCATATCACACCACATTTGGTCTTAATATAAGACATCAGAACATGTCTCAAATAGTAATCAGAATCAAGGCCAGATTCAGAGTTTAAAAGTCAGGCAAAATGTGAACAGAAAGGTTATCTCTTTCTCAAGACCTTTCTGAGTGTGTTATTGTCAGAGGTAATTGTAATACTGCTAAATTTTTATAATAGCGCACAGCTTGTTGTGTTTTTTTTTGCTAAAATCTGCAAAGTTTAAATGTTAATGACAGAACATAGACTAGTTTCTTAATGTGCTTTTTTGTTTCGTTTTGAAAGAACAAAAACTGCTGTTAGTGAATGTTTTAAGAAAGATTAAGAAAAAAGTAACTCTAAGATTCTGAAAATGGTTTCCCGTATTGCCAGAATTTCAGTGCTTTTTAGCAAAACATTTGCATATAATACCTTAAATCTCATCACGTGTATGCACCAGGAAAAAGTTCCAAACTTTGTGAAGATCCCCATGGGAAATACTGGGGAAATAATACAAATAGAATATAAAAAAAACAAAACACCATTTAGTTTGCATATCTGATGTCAAGATGCTGAGGTAATACTGACTGCTTAAAAAAACCCCACCAATCTTTGCCTCTGTTATTGCTGCAAAAACATTAATACTGATTGAGTTACCTTACTATATCAAAAGTGGAAGGGAGGAGATAATGAACATAATGTTCAAAGCAAGTGAAAAAATGTAGGTAAGTCGGAAAATATAAAGCTACAGTTAGGGTCTTATCCTTTCTATCCGGAGGGGAGGCAGTCCAACCCCAGCGGGGTGTGTGACTAGCCTTTTCCTGGTTGCCTCCTTTGTGAATTTTCTAAAGTTGTTACCACCCACTCAGATTCTATTTCAAAGTGAATCCTTAAAAATAAAATCCACGAGTTCTTAATAAATAGTTACAGTTCCTCCTGAAGATGCTGGGTAAAGTGCAGAGAGAAGCACCATAGAAGCCCTCTTGCTGGCTGGTATGGCTTGCCTTAAATTCGGATTTGATAGCCCACTTCATTCAGAGTGCTGAGATCAGTCTTCTTTTCAGGCAGAGCCGGCCTGAGGGGGAAAGAGAAAGGTGGTGGGGAGGGGATGGGTTGGAGAAAGAACATTTAATATTTTCAGAGGCCTCTGCTCAGTTTCCCCAACCCTTCTGATATCTGCCCCACCCGCCACCAGCCTTAGTTCCCAACTCTTCCTCTTGTTCTTAAGTCCACCTTTCTAGGTTTTAAGGAACATTTTAACAGGCTTTCAGTCTAGAGTTCAAAACAATGCACGGGTTGCCGAATGAACTTGTTCCAACTTTGAGCCTGAATTTGGTCACACTGTAACTGAAACCCAGTATCCCTGAACCTTACAAGGGTCTAAACAGTAGCATATACTACAGTAAGATTGATACTATTACTACTCATTTAACAGAGGAGAGCACAGAGACACTGAAAGTTAGGGAACTTGCTCAAAGCAAAGTCACATGGTTAGCGAGCTGTAGAGCCAGAGGCTGTCCGCAGACAAACTGCCCCCTGTCCTCCCGCATTCCACACAAAGCATCCTGCCAAGCACCTGAGAACGATACCACAGCCACTCCTGCCTCCGCACCTTGCTATGGAATGCCCTTACCCCATGTCTTCTTGTCATCCCTTCAAGGTCCAACCCAAATGCCACTTCTGACTTCCTTCCCTTACAACCCACTGCTCCTTGCTCTGTATCCTATGGCATTTCTTTTTGTACGTCTGTTCAAGAATCCTGCAGATTCATAATCCTCGTGCCTGCCTCAGAGACTGTGAACAACTTGAAAGCAGGCTCAAGTAAATTCATCCATGGATCCCCATGGTTGAATATCCTGAACCTCTCAATAAACTTTGGTCAAGTTCTCACTAATGTGTAAATGGCTGATAGGGCTTCATTATGTTACCTTATGGTGGGATGTTTTTTTGTTTTAACAGAGAAGTCCTAAGCTAGGAATTCAAGTCACCATGACAACTTTCTAAGAGTCGACAAGTGGGAAGAATATTGTTTTCTTCTGTGTAGGAGACACTTTACCTAACCTCTGAAAGCCACTTGGGAAACCTGCCTACTTGGGAAGCTGAATATAGTTCTGTAAGGACATGGCTTGAGGGCTTCCAGAGGAAATGAACTTTCCCCTCCCACCGCCCCCTAGGTACCCAGAACCTAGGTGAGGGGAAAAATGGCTAATACTGGCAGGAAATGAGTTAAACTGAGATGCCTGGTGAACTGCCTGGAAGACGAAACCCTCTTTCATAGTGTCACTGGCTGCCACTTCCTGGTCTGGCAAGGGTGAGAAGTGGGTTATCACAGCATGCCACCTGCCTGCGGGGCCCAGCCAGAAATACTGCTCAGTCCTTGCCAGCAACTCCAAGGGCCAGAGCTGGATGAGCTATTGTGTGGGGAGCGGCTTCTTCCAAGGGCTCCCCCGGCTATAATTAGAATATTGCAAAGGGATTTATTTTTAGGAAACACAAGCACCAAGATGATGATTCAGCCGGGTCCGCACTTGCCCAGAGCCTCTCATCAGATCCAGGATTATTTTAGACTGAACAATTTATTTCTCCAAACCCCTCCCCAGTCCAAACAAGGAAAAGAAATCAAAGGGTTTTCCTTTTGAAAGGCCCTCAGGCCGCCTTCTATTTTAGGAGAAGAGGGAGAGGGGACTTTCTTTTCATGCACTTGGTGGAAGGAAGAAAGGGGCACACGAACCGATAATCCCAGCTTCATTTGTTGTCACATCAATGTATCCAGGGTGAACTAGGGTGACTGCTTGATGGTCTAATTCCATTTTTACCCTGAACCCCAACTTCGGGCCTGCATTCCAGGGGCAGCTGTGACAGAGGCTGTTCAGAGCGGGGGATGAGAGGCTAAGTTGGGGAGGACAGGTGGTGGGTCCAGAGAGAAGGTAGTCTGTGGGAAATACGACTAGTATTCGCCACCGCTCCCTAAATCTTGACAGTTTGGGGAGAGAGAACCATCTCCTAGTGTGCTAGGCACCCCATGAGTCTTTCACACACCCTGAGGCAGCCTCAGTGCAGTGGAAGAGCTCAGCTGGATTGGATGTTGACGTCAGGGAAGCCACAAGAAGCCTCAAAACCAGAGAGCGATGACAGCATGTTGGAGACTAAGGTGGGGGCGATATCACACCCTGGGGCTGAACGTACAAGTTGGTCTGTGTCTGTGTGAGACGGGGTTTAAGAAAAGCAGCGGTTAAGTGGAAGGAAATCCTGCAGGGTCCCCCGAACC